GATTGCTTAATGGGTATAGAGTTTCTTTTTGGGGTTATGGGAATGTTCCAAACTTAGATTGTGGCGATGGTTACACAAGTATGTGAATAGAGGGACTGCACACATGGGAGGCGCAGAGAGAGAGGGAGAGAGAGAATCCCAAGCAGGCTCCCCACTGTCAGCACAGAACCCCAAGCAGGGCTCGATCTCCCGAACCGTGAGATCATGACCTGAGCCGAAACCAAGAGTCAGATGCTTAACCAACTGAGCCACCCAGGTGCCCCTCCCTTTTTTTTTAAATTTTTTTTGAGGCTCAGCTGTGAGTTCCCCTTACCTACATACAACACACTTCTAGTATTTCTTTGTATTTGTAATGAGAGAAGCCACTCCAGATGATCTCCATCAAGCTGTTTACACTGGAAGCATCTGGTGCCTTTTCAATGGGTGCATTCACCCCAATGTTGGAACTAGGATCACCTTCTAAGTGGAGGGTGGTGTTGGAAGGCAGGGGCATGGATATCTGACCGATCGTCTTCCTTACGCCTCCCCTGGAGGGGTATGGAAAAATAACTGCTGAGAAAGGAGAGCCAGCTCTTGGTGTAGCCACAAAAATCCCTTCCGCTCTCAGGCTCCTACACCCTTCCACGGATGCCCGGGCCCCCAGATGAATTCTTTTCTCAATGGGGAGATGCCCAGGGGAGAATCATAGCTTTCTCCTCAGCCCAGAGCTCAAAACAGACTTTCCCCCACATACCCCCAGGGAGGATTCACATCTGGATGTAAGACGGTGAAAGAGGAAATTGGGGGCGTTTTCAGGCCTCAGACTTTACAAACTTCAAACGTTGGCTGCTGTTGGGTGGCAGATTTGTTCAGGGGCACGGGGTAAATCTTCACAGTGGCCATCTGGCTCTGAATAAATAACGAAGCCTTGTATACATAGCAGAGTGGTAGCCCTAGAGCCTGACTGCACATGTTCAAATCCCAGCTGTGGTACTTTTTAGCTCTGTAGCCTTGAGATTCTCAGTCTGTAAAATAGGGTTGATGAGAGCACCCACCTCTCACAGTTGTTTTGAAGAGGACATGGGATAATGCAGGTAAAGAAGTTAGTCCAAGGGCACCTGGGTGGCTCAGCCGGTTAAGCGTCCGACTTAGGTTCAGGTCATGATCTTGTGATCGCAAGTTCGATCCCCAGGTAGGGCTCTGTGCTGACAGCTCAGAGCCTGGAGCCCGTTTCGGATTCTGTCTCTCTCTCTCTCTCTCTCTCTCTCTCTGTCTGCCCCTCCCCCACACATGCTCGCTGGCTCTCTCTCTCTCTCTCCCCCTCTCAAAAATAAATAAGCATTAAAAAAAAAAAAAGAGGAAACAGAGGCCCTGAGAGGTAAAGTGGCCTGCAGTATCTATCCTATAAATCCTCCACTAGATCATAAGGAATGAAGCAGCCTGGTTCCCCTGCTCCACATGTGTTCAAGATGCACAGAGCTTTCAAAGTAAGAAGGAAGGAAACACATGATCCATCAAGGGGGAAAAAAATCTCTGTATAGCTCAGAGGTAGGGTGAGTTATTTTGTCTGTAACGTTCTGGTTGGAGAACGAAGTTGACAGTGTCTCAAGGTCTCAAGCCACTCAGGGACAGCCCAAATCTACGCTTGCTGGGAGAAAGTGTTCATCAAGAGAAGGGGTGTTATTTTTGTTTTTGAATTTCTTTTTACATTTCTTCATTGGGAGAGAGACAGAGACAGGGCAAGCAAAGAAGGGGCAGAGAGAGAGAGAATCCCAAGCCGGCTCCATGCTGTCAGTGCAGAGCCGGATGCGGGGCTCACACTCACCGAAAGTGTGAGGTCGTGACCTGAGCCCCAACCAAGAGTCAGACGCTCAACTGGCCGAGCCACCCAGGTGCCCTGAGGGAAGGTTTTATACACTATGGGTCACTGAGGAGCAGAGACAGAGAGCAGATGGTGGACGAGAGAACAGAAGAAACGTAGAGGAACAGGACAACAGGGTGGCACTTGCTCTCTCCCCTTGGGCCCCAGGACTGGGCATGTGGAGCGAGGTCCTGGCCAGAGATGTAAAAATAGGAGTTGAAGGTTGGGTCTGGATAGAGGACTTGGCGGCTTTTGTACTTCAGGACTGAGCTGGGGCGATGAGGGGCAGGTGACAGGGGAGAGGTTGCCACAGGAAGCCACCGAAGTGGCTCTTCTCCCACGGACCTCACCAGGATACAGGGTAAAAGCCGTGTTTCGGTGTCTGGGTGACAAAGTGGCGGAGTGTGGCACAGAATGGGAGGGCAGCACCACTCCATGCCCCACCCCGGCGTGGGCGTCTGTGTTCCCACAGCCAGAGGCGCCCCCCAGCAAGCAGCTGGGGCGGAAGGGCTATCCTCCTGTGGCGACGTGGGCAGCTGCCCTCCATGAGACGGGATAGGAACCGGAGAGCAACGGGAGACTCTTGCTATCTCAGAATACAGGAAACTTCCAAGGTCTTCCACACATCACTGGAGGAAACCTTCAAGGGGTTGAAGCCATGCAACACACAGGTGGGGCCAGGGGTCGGTGCCATCGGAGTTTTTACTGCTTATGGGGCCTTATTTTTCCCCGCCGGCCAGTGAGGCCGGGAGAAACTTGAAACACTGTTTTACAGCAGACAGAATTGTCTCAAGTACTTGGGCATATGATAGCCCAGCTCTATGTAGATGCCGAGTGGCTCTTGAAACATTTCTAAATATAACCTTTGGGGTGGGTAGAGGAGTGGGGCTTGAGCTCTGGCAGGTCTGATGGGGCTTCAGTTGTTCCATTTATCTCTAGTGAAATTAGCTTAAAGAAGAGGAGAGGGAAAGGCAAAGGGAAGAATGACCGGGGAGAAAAAGAAAAGAATGAGGGGATTAATAGGTATGAACTTCCAGGTATAAAGTAAATAAGCCACGGAGACGAAATATAGTCAATCGTACTGCAACAACCTTGTATGGTGACAGGTGGTGAGTCCACTTATCGCGATGAGCACTGAGTAATGTATAGAACTGTCAACTATACTTCGATGTTAAATTTTCTTGAAAAAAGAATTGCTTTTGTTCTCCGTGACCGTGGTGATAAGAAAATCAGTTCCGTCTTTAAGACTTTTTCCTTCCCATGTACATTTTCCAGATACCGATTGTGACTCTGTACGTCTATTTCTTCTCCAGTAGAGAGTAAGCCGGACAGGGCTTTGCCAAGCTAAGAGCGACCCTGGCTGAACACGGAGATCCGAACTCCACTGGGACCTGGATTGGGCCCGCTGTGAGCCAATGGGGCAGAAGATGAGGGGAAAACGGGGTCCCCAGGGGCCCGCAGCCTCCCCGCCTGGACTTGGGGTTTCCCAACTTATTGCCCCCTCTTTTTTCCCCCGAGGCAACAGCACTGCTGATTGATACATCCACAGGCAGCCTGCAGAGCCAGATGCTTATCTATATTACCATGGGGCTGCTAATTTGTCTGCCAATCTTTGTTTTTTTCCGAGAATCATTTTCCTCTTCCTGGAATCAGACCCCAAGTTTAGGGTAATGGAGCAGCGGCCTTGAGTCCTCAGAGAGGGTTTGGTCTCTGTCCTTCTCTTTCCAGCCCCACTCCCACAGTCACCTGTACTATTGTGATAGGAGGGCTCATAATGCTCTCTGACCCCTCCCCCCATCCTGCCGCCAAAGTGTTGCCAAGTTAGCTTTCTAAAATACGTTTCTCATCATGCCAGTCCTACTGTTTCTAAAAGACCTTTGAGTAGCTCAATTACATGGACTATTATTAAATAAATAAATTGGCCCTGTTAGTATCAAATTTCCCATTATCCCGATTTCTTGACTTCCTAGCCTTTGCCACGATTTCCATCTCTCTCACTGATGTGGTTTCTTGCTTATGGTCTGTCTCCTCCCTCCACTGGGATGACATTTCCATTCTATCGGGGTTTTCATCTGTCTATCCCTAAAACAGTGGCTGACACGTGAGATAATAAATACTGATTGAACGAGGGACTCAAGAAACCAAATTCTGTTAGCCACGGTTAATTCTTTCTTTCATAAATGAACTTTATTTACTTTTGTGATTACAAATGTAACACATGCTTACTGCAGAGACTCTGGAAAGTACAGAGAAGTAGAAAGAAGAAAGTAAAAACACCCACAATCCCACCACCTGAAGGCAAACACTGCTCATATTATATTCTAACTATTTATGCCTGTTTAAAGAGCAAGACCTTTATCAAGAGTGTTGGCCACAAATAGCCACAATAGCCATGGGGAGCAGGGGCAATTATTACTAAGGGGGCCACCAAGAAGTCAGAGCTAGCGATTTGACACTGAGGAAGAAAACAAGGGCCAGAGAGAAAAGATCAGGAAGTCAGAAGCTGACAACACAAGAACAAGTTGGGTTATGATAAGAAGGTAGTGAGACGGTGCTTGTCAAGAGTTTAGCCCAATACCTGTCACATAATACATAATCAATAAGTGTTAGCCATTACTATGATTACTACCATGGGTCAAAACGAATGGTTCAGGATGGAGACTATAAACAGCACAAGGGCCCTGGAGACCCATTTTAGGTGCTATGAGTTGGGGCATATGAAAAGGGTGGTTTGGGAGTGGGCATCACTCTCCTTATAGGCTCCCTTGCCAGGTGAAATGGGACCAGGGCATCCTCACGTTTGCCTGATGACATGTGGCAAGACACTCTAGGTGTTTTTGAGGTAGGACACAGTTTCTCCTGCCTAGACTTCTCCCTGGACCAGGAACTAGGACTGGCCTCCACGGCGATAGGAGTTCAAAACCTCATACACCAAACACTCTTGAAGTCCACACTCTGATTGTCGGGGCAGGTCACAGGCATGTAGGGTAAAAGAGAAGGTCAAGTCAACCAACTGGGAGTTAGGTGGGATATGCCTGGAGGGGGAGGCTGTAGGGGGAAGGCCACAAGGTTTATGATGTAATTGAATGGAATGGGTCCAGGAACCAGTCCTCAAGTTAGCAGCGGAGTCAGACATCACAGTAGAAGATTCCAGAAAGAATTACTTGTTGGTGGGGGCCTTGTGATGGCCTGTGCTCTGTCGGAGGTGGTCATGCAGACCCTCTTGAGGGTCTCCATGCTCTTTCAGGTAGTAACAGCGTTTAGGAACATGCTGGTGCTGGGAGTAAGAAAACAAACAAACAAACAGAAAAACCAGCAGAGGTAAGAGCCACACTCACTATGACGAGGGGGTTCTGCCTGGATAATGACAGTAATTTAGAAGTTCAAGAAACTTGGCTAATGTACCCTACGTGTATAATGTGTGACCGAGGACTAGGCTAGCCAAATTCCCTAGTAACCTGGGTCCATGACACATGTGCCTGGAGGTAGGACCCAGCCCTCCCCCTGCAAAGATGACCCCTCCCTTAGAATAATCGGACAGTTGGGACCCAGCTAGTTCCCTCATAATCAGAAGACTCAGACCTTTAGCCATCCCAGGTCCCCAAGAACTTGGGCAGGGCATTGCTTCAGAGTGCTTAATACACCCAAAATAACTACATAGCCAGGCCACTGATGAAACACCAGGTTGGGGAGTATGGTCTAGAAGCTCAATGCCTCCCCCTTGCCTCTTCCGTGTTCTACTCAAAGGAGCAGGGTGTGCTCCCCATCACTCCCCACCGCTCCCCTTGAGTGTATTTCCCCATCTTTACCTCCTCCGTCTGCTGATAAGAGTTCTGTTCATTCTCCATCGCCTCCTCATTATTCCGCTTACAGGCTGACAGCAGAACCTGGCTTGACCTGCCCGGGGAATCCTTCTCTTCAGCCAGCTGGCACTCAGTGTAGAGAGACCTGTCTATCAGCTCCTTTAGGCTGCCGGCCACCTTCAGGAAGATCCGGCCCATTTTGGTGGTAACAGCTTCCGAGAGCCCTTCCAGAAACCTGGTCCGTAGAATGGCATCAGACCAAGACAAATGTCGGGCCAGCAGCAGGAAGTCAGTGGCATATTGCCTGACTGACTTCTGGCCCTGCTTGGGGTGGCAAAGAACAGCACTGAGGATGTCTATCTCGGATAGGGAGTCATACAAGCCCTGTGATCTGCTCAGGAAAGATTTATTTTCATCTGAGAGGGGGTTTCCTACCTCCATCTGCAAGATGGACCACCTCTCTGCTGCCCCCAGATGAAGAGACACCAGAAACGCCATTTTTTCTGAGTCATTCAAAAAGCCCTTCATTTGCTTCTCCTCATCAATCTCCATCTCCTCCTCCACAGAGCATGAACCCCGGGCTGCTTCCTGTTCCTCTAAGAGGTAACAGAGTGCTGGGGTCAGCATGCCAAAGGATGGGACTTCCTTTGGTGGTGGGTTCATTGTTTCAGCAGCTGGGGCAGCCATGTGTGGTGTGGACTTTGATCCAGAGGCTGTGACATTGCTGTGAGAGGCAGATGTTTCTCCAAAGTCTGTGGCTTTGATTTCCAGAGTGGACATCATTCCAGAGGGTGTGGCTGCCACTTGTGGTGTGGACATGGTTCCTGGGACTGGGGTCCTCATTGGCGGCATGGACACCCCTCCAGAGGCCATGGCTGTCATTTGTGGCATGGCCATCCCTCCAGAGGCTGTGGCTCTCAGAAGTGGCATGGACATCATTCCAGAAGCTGAGGCTCTCACTGGCGGTGCAGGCATCCCTCCGGAAGTTGTGTATGTTGTATGTGGCAAGGACATAGATCCAGAACTCGTGACTCTCGTTTGCAGCGTGAACACTGCCCCAGAGGCCATGCTTTTCATTAGCGGCACAGACATGTCTCCAGAAGCCATGGCTGACATCAATGGCATGGGCATTGTTCCAGAGGCTGTGGCTCTCATTAATGGCTTGGACATCCCTCCAGAGGCCATGGCTGTCATTTGTGCGGTGGACATCTTTCCAGACACTGGACCTCTCGATAACTCTGTGGATATGGCTTCGGAGGCTGAAGGTCTCCATAGTGGTGTGGACGTCATTCCAGAGACTGGGGCTCTTGCTAGTGGCGGGGACATTACTCCAGGGGCTGGAGCTCGCATTGGTAGTGTGTACATCTCTCCTGAAGCTGTGGGCATCATTTGTGGTGTGAACGTTGCTCCAGAGGCTGGGCTTCTCACCAGTGGCACGGATACCCCTCCAGAGGCCGTGGCTGTCACGTGAGGCATGGACATCGCTCCAGGAGCTGTGGATCTCATTAGTGGTGTGGGCTTTGCTCCAGACACTGGAGCCCTCATCTGTGGCATGGGCATCATTCCAGAGGCTGTAGCTGTCATGTGTGGAGTAGACATTGTCCCATAAGCTGGGACTCTCAGGGATGTGGCTATCTCTCCAGAAACTGGGGTTCTCATTAGTGGTGGGGACATCTGTCCAGAGGATGAAGCTCTTGTGAACAGTGCAGACATCTCTCCAGGGTCTGGGGCTCTCATTAGTGGTGTGGATATCACCCCAGAGGCCGGGGCTCTCATTTTTGGTGGGGACATCATTTCAGAGGCTGGGGTTTGCATCTCCAGTGGGGACATCCCTCCTGAGATCCTGGATCTCATGAAAGACATGGACATCCCTCCAGAGTCTTGGGTGCTCAGTGGCTGACTGGGCACCTTTCCAGAGGCTGTGGCTCTCATTAACACTGTGGGCATTGCTCCGGGGTCTGGGGCTCCCATTAGAGGCATGGACACAGTTCCAGAAGCTGCAGCTGTCATTTGTGGTGTGGACATGTCTCCAGAGGCTGGGGCTCTCATTAGTGGTGTGGACATCCCTGCAGAGGCAGTGTCTGTCATCTGCCGCATGGACATAGCTCCAGAAGCTGTGTCTCTCATTAGCATTGTGGCTATCTCTCCAGAAGCTGTGGCTGTCATTTGCTGCATGAACATGGCTTCTGAGGCTTTGGATGTCATTAGTGGCTTGGACAATGCTCCCGAGGCCGTAGCTCTCATTTGCGGCAAGGACATCACTCCTGGGGCCCTGTCTCTCATTACCAGTGTAGACATTGCTCCAGAGGCTTTGGCTGTCATCAGTGGGGTGGACATTGCTCCAGAGGCTGAGGCTCTCAACTGTGGTACAGCTGTCACTCCTGAGGCTGTGGCTCTCCTTTGTGACATAGACATTGCTCCAGAGACAGGGGCTCTCAACTGCAGTGTAGACATTGACCCAGAGGCTGGGGATGACAGTTGTAGTGTGGTCATTGTTTCAGAGGCTTGGGCTGTAACTGGCTGTGTGGACATTGCTCCAAAGGCTGGGGTTCTCCTTAGTGGTGCAGACGTCATCGCAGAGGCCAGGGGTCTCATTCGCAGGGTGGACATTGTCCCAGAGGCTGTGGCTTTCACAAAGCCTGTAGACATTGCTCCAGAAGTTCTGGTCATCGTTAACTGTGAGGACATTACTCTAGAGGCTGTGGTTGACATTTTCTCAGTGGACATTGCTCCAGAAGTTGTGACCGTCATCAGTGGGGTGGACAATGTTCCAGAGTCTGGAACGGTCTTTAGCAATGTAGCCATATTGCCAGAGGCCAGAGGTCTCATCTGCGGTATGGACATTGCTCCAGGGTCAGGGGCTCTCGCTGGCGCTGTGGACGACCCCCCAGAGGCCGTCGTTCTCATTGGTGGAGTAGACATGATTTGAGAGTCCAGATTCTGTGTGAACTGTGGGGACATCAGTCCCGAGTCTTGGGCTGACATCAGCTGGGTGGGAATCACTCCAGAGGTTAGGGCTGTCATTAGCAGTGGGGACACTGCTTCAGCATCCAGAGCTGGCTTTGGCAACGTGGACACTTCTCCGGTATCTGGAGCTGATAGGAGTGGTGTGGACATTGCTCCAGAACCTGGAGCCGACACTAGCAGTGAAGACACGACTCTGGAATCTGAGCCTGACATTAGCTGGGTGGACACTTCCCCAGAGTCTTGGGTGTTCATTGGCTGGGATGACGTTGTTTCAGAAGCAAGGGCTGACATTATCAGTGAAGATATCGCTTCAGAGTCTGTGCCTGACATTAGCAGTGAAGATATCTCTCCAGAGGCCAGAGCAGTCATTAGAACTTGAGACATCGCTTCAGTGTCTTCATCTGTAATTTGCAGAGGTGACATTGCTTCAGAGCCTGGAGCTGGCATTGGCTGTGTGGACGTCACTCCAGGGTTTATGTCGGGCATCAGGAGTGGGGATATCTCTCCAGGATCTGGGGCCAGCATCAACGGGGTGGGTGTCGCTTCAGAGGATGAAGTGCTCACTATAGGTGTAGACATTGCTCCAGAGGACGAAGCTGGCATTGCCAATGGTGATATCTCTGCAGAATGTGGTGCTGCCATTAGTGCTGCAGACATTGTCCCAAAGTCAGGAATTGTCATCAACCCTGGGGATATTAATCCATAGTCTGAAGTGGACAGCAATGGGGACAGTGTTCCAGAATCTGAGGCTGGCATCAGCAATGGGGACAGTGCTTCTGAATCTGGAGCTGCCATTAGCAGTGGGGACAGTGCCCCAGAGTCGGAGCCTGGCATTAGTGATGGCGACAGTGCTCCAGAGTCTGGTGCTTCCGTTACAGGTGCAGACGTGGTGTCAAAGGCTGGGGATGTCATCAGCTGTGCAGACATCCCTTCAGGGTCGGACGCTGAAGTGGAGACTATAGGCTGTACGTGAGAATGTAAAACTTGGACCTCTGCTCTGGTCTCCATTACTGGTCCAGCGAAGGTCATCCCGCTGTTTTGGGGGTCACCATTTTCCTCCCTCAGCGTATTGTCGAATCGGAGGGAGTGGAAAGGTATTGACATATCTGCCATGGCCCCCAAATGGTGCGGAGAGTGCCCCTAAAGTGATGATATGGAGGAGTCTTGCCGAAGCCCAAATGGCAAGGAAATCTGTAAACAGGAAACAAGTCGAGTAGTCAAAAGCCAAGAACAAAAAGATCGGGGAGCAGACAAATGATTGATTCATGATGGAGACCTTTCTCATGTGTTGCCAGCTCCGTGGCACCAGAGATGGGCCCTATCAGGTTAAGGGAGCGGTGCAACCGTGAGCACATCTGAAGTTGGAGCAAAGATCCCTTCCTGCCCGTATTCTTTTTTTTTTTTTTTTAATTTTTTTTTTTTAATGTGCATCCAAATTAGTCAGCATATCGTGCAACAATGATTTCAGGAGTAGATTCCTTAGTGCCCCTTGCCCATTTAGCCCCTCCCACCTCCCACACCCCCTCCCCCCCTATTCTTTTCAAACCAATCCACTGAGTCACAGCACAGCCTTTCCCATTTATACATGCTCTAAATGCCAGCTAGCTCAGCGGCTGGGGGGGGGGGGGGGGGGGGGGGGG